CACCGCGGCTTTCTTTCCCTCGATCGTCCTCCTGGACGTTCTTGCTCATCGCGTTTCCGTTTTCCACTGTAACGGAGTTATGGTGACTCGATTAATCCCGCGGAAAATATCTCTCATCCCCTGACGGAAGAATTCAAATTTCTGCGGTTTCATTTATTATACATTTTTCAAAGTCTTTTTTAAGGTTCAACCGTTAAACTAGAAAAATTATTTTGTATATCGATTTAAAATTGCTTCTACTGCGAAGGGGTTTTATAGGTTCTGTGAGAAACATTAGCCTACAATTGCATCGCTGGGAAAAGCCATCTTGTCGATCGAAGCCGTCATTCGAACAGCGAATATTAATTGTTGCTTAATTATTTATTGCTGACCACTGTTTAACACAGCGAATGTTATCCGTACCGCAGACGTTTATACGTGCTGTCGAGCATGCATTTATGAATACCGGGAAAGGGATTAAAAGTTAATTTGCCCGCAAAAACCAATGGCGGATTTTACGGAATTGAGAACAAAATAAACACAGCGCCGCTCGAGAGCATTTATTTTATCGCAGTTTTGTGTATTCGCGTGAATGGTCTGCTTATGTGTCCGCCGAACTAAATCCGCTTGCATTAAAACCGTTAAGCGCGCGGATTAAATAAATAAAAGAGTCAATGACACTTGGCCGAAGGGTTGACTTACGGTTCGCTCGACAAATAATGAATTACGGACGAGATCTTTTCGATATCTTTTAAAAATCAATTTTCAACTTGCTTTCGACATCTGAAATCCACCGATCGATATACTAGTTAAAGTTAGTAAAATTCTATTCGAAATTCTTTTTTAGCCGAAAAATATGACAAACATGGCGCCACATTTAAATATTTACAGTGGTGAGGGTGCGTCAAACTTCAAATCGAGAAACAGTATCTTAAAGTAGAGATTTCAGGCTTTAATTTAGAAAAAGAATGAGCATCTTGCGATGATTTTTAGCGCAGTTATCGTCGGCCAGAGCCGGCCAATTCTTAACAAAAAAAATATCGATGATATAATTTCTGACTCACTATAGTCTCGCAAGGACAGGGTGCCAAGTTTGCCGTTCCCATTCGCGGGATTGGCCAGTGTAAAGTCAGCAGAAATCTGCGTTAGGCGTGGCCAACAATTTCATTAGTACGTTCTGAATGGCGCAGCAAGGCAAAGAATCGGCTTGTTATTCCGTGTCTTTTCAGGTGCACTGGATTTCACCTTCGACAACACTTTCGCTCGTTTCCCGATGTTCATTATCCCCGTTCGCGCTCGTATCGGCCTCGCCCCTAACGGACCAATAAGTTTACAAGAAGCCGCGCTCGATCGCCAGTCATTTAATCGCCGCGAGATATCGAAAATCGTTACATCCTATGCTGATTTCCACTATTTTATTTCCGACGGTTGCCATTGCCACAGTCGACGCCCGGACGCTCCATTACGCGATCGAATATTCCGCGTGCTACGCCGATGTTGCTGAAAAATATTCAGCTGAAAATATTCGACTGAAAATATTCGGCTCTCTCGGTTTTAACACGCCTCCTCTCAACCGGCAAATTCGAATCATTTCCGAGCTTTGTGCGCCGCACTCCCGATTGCGATTGCTTTTGCAGGATAATTTCACAAGATACCGAGTTTTATGCGAATCGTCCACTAATTGCGCATGGAAATGCAATGTCTTGCGAATGTAGTTCGTTTAATAATGCGAGGTTAATTTGGATCGGTTGATAATAATGCGAATTTAATGTTTTGCAAATTTAAATCATTTCCAGAGAGTATAACAAAGCTGCCGATAATTATGATACATTAAAAAACAATTCTTATCGGCTCATTCAAATTATTCGGAAGAAAAATTAATGTGGATGTAGCTGCTGTATCTTGCAATTAACGCAGACAGTTTTTATTCTGCAGGAAAATCCGTAGTCTAATCGTTACAATCTTTTCTGCAATTTTTTATTTAAACGGTGCAATTATTTGCAACGTTCTGTCGTTTTATATTTTCTTCAAGGGATGCTTAATATTTCGCGAATAAACACGAGTTTGAATTTCTAAATAATGGATAAACAATGGTTTGATATCAATTTAATAATGCGATCGCTTTAAGTATCCTCTTTGCATCGCGTTATCTTACTCCATATCTCTCTCGTTTCTTTTCTGTCCGGCCTTCCTCGAAGACCCCTAACAGCCTGGACAAGCCAAAGCTGAGTATCGTTAAGCGATTCGATCTTCCTCCTGATTCAAGGGATTAAGAGCCGAGTCATCAATCGACGAATTTCAGCTATCACGGGCGCACCCCCTTGTCTTGCTTTCTCCGAACGAGAGGATCTTTATCTCTGCCAATTTTAACCCAGATGCGACCACCCTCCTCTCGAAAGTAATTTGAATTTCCCGCGAGAGAGATACGTCTCGCATTTTTAATTTCGTAGATTGTTCGCCGAGGGTTTCGTATCTTTTTTACAAAATTAACACGAGGCTTAATAGAGGCAAAATAAAGGCTTAATTGTTAAACTGCGAATTTCATGCAGTTATGGTAAAAACGAGTGGGTGCAATTTAAAACAGTGTAAAAATTAAAAGGAACTAAGGATGTCGATACATTAATTTGAACTGGTTCAAATCATTGAAACTGAACATATTTTTATATTATCTACAAGATGTGTTCATTCAATTACGGTCAATAGACTAATTTCAAGATGTATTAGTTACACTATGATCATTAGATACATATTAATTAAATATATTATTAATATTGTTAATATATTAATTAATTATATTATTAATATATTAATTAAATATATTATTAATATTATCAATATATTAATTAAATATATTATTAATATTATTAATGTATTAATTAAATTGTGAGGATTAGATTAATTACAAGATATATTAATTAAATTGTGAACATTATTAATTTAACTACAAGACATGTTTCTTAAGCTAGAAGCATTATCGTATTCATACGAAGCAACATTTCCCTAAAACGTTGGCTTTAGGACAAGTTTTAGCAAGCCAACAGCCATAAAACAAGACATAACAAAATTTTTCCAGAGGAATGTCCACCCTAAAATTGATTGTCGTGCAAACCCAGTTGTATCGTCACGTCTGCGACGTGCGGAAAGCAGACACCTGATGTTCGCAATTGACCTGTCCAATCAACAACCCACGGTTTAGGATCGGCATTCCCGCCGTTAATTGGCGTTAATGGGGTCGCTGCAATGGGTCGTGGTAAATAAAACAGATGGAAGCTATTTCGGTGGACCCCTCGAACCGTTTCGGCTCGCTAATAATAAAAAAATGAGGAAACTATAATCTCGATAATAAAAATAGCCTAAGCCCCACCGATTGGCTACAGCGAGAATTTGCTATCGTGTAACGACACTACCATGAGTTTTTTAAAGTTATTTTATTTCACCGTTCAAGTAGACAAACTATGGCCTATTGTTTTGTTTTCTCCATTTTATTGTCGGGTACCAACAATAAACGTTTTGGGACTATTTTTTAGGACAATAAAATGTAATACAAAGACGTAAAAATAATTAAAAAAGTAGATATTTCTTCTACTATATTTTTTCGTATTATTCGACAATAAAATGCATCAAAATAAATAAAATATCATAAAAATCCTGAAGATATGAAATAAATACGATTAAATACGCTAGAATGTTTTGATAGCTGATTCGAGGAAAATCTCCGTTCGCAAAAGGTTGAAAACTGAAACGATGCGTTCGCTGTAATTTAGTCAAAAAGATTGCAGCATTTAATTTGTCACAGCCTGCACAGTTTAATACAGAATACGTGTCTCACACCCTCGTCAAGAGACCGCCCTTTTCTTCGACGGTGACAGAAGCACGCCGGTAACAATTTCTCCACCCACACCCGTGTACTCTTTCAAAAGTTATGCTGGGCTACGTAATTTCCCTTTGACAGCGAAACTGTATCATCCGCACGTGACGGCCGGGAAGAGGAGAATATATGTCCCCGGAGTCAGGTGGCTCGCTTGATTACTCGCAACCCCCCGAAGAAAAACCCGCGCCGGTCGATCCTCTGCTCGTACGAATTCGGGAAACAAACCGCCGCCGTTTATGCTCGCTTCGAAACGGATCGCCAAAGGGCGGCTCGGGACAGCGAGACAGGGGCGGAAAATTTAAGGGAGAAATTGCTTACGGCGTTTCCGCGATGCCTGATAGCTCGATCACTTCTGTCTCTGGACAATGGTGATCAAAATCTGCGAAAGTAGATTACTGCGCAGTATAGATAGATAACTGCAGTATAGATAGATAAGATAGATAACTGCGCAGTATCTTGAACTTCATCTTGAACGGTGACTTTTAACTCTTCGATGATGATTCGATGGAGCCGTTCACAGTTTTACGGACCATCTTTCTTTTATTTGCAAGCGGATCGAAATCGTAGCGGTGGAAATCGCATAGTTTTCATTGTGAGGTACAGGAAATTCTTTCTTTCTCGTTTGTGCGATGTGTGGGATGGACGTTTGTTGCATAGGAAATGATTACTAGACTATGGATCTTTATGCGAAATAAAAATTGTCTACGTTAACTGCAAGAAACATAAGTTAAGTGAAAAAGGCTTTCGTTTCTTAATAATTGTAATAAGTTAAAAATAATATGAAAATATCCTTAAGTCGTTCTAATGTCTTTGCAGTTTTGCATTTCAAATAGTTTCAATTATTTTTGTTGTATATGCATAAAATCCACAGTCCAATGATTACTAACAAGTGTTTATTGACCAAATTTATATATAGTTGAGTTAATTTATAATTGAGTTAATTCATAGTTGAGTTAATTTATAATTGAGTTAATTTATAGTTAATATATGTTACAGTCAAGAAATTTCATTCTCCCTTTAATTACAACGAATGCATCCTTTTAACAAACGTATGAAATTCGCAGTTTAATTATAAATTAAACACGGTCAATTATTCACGATTTAAAATAAGATGCGCTATTCACTATGTAATACTTATGGTGATATTTACCCGGCTCTGATATTTTGTCCCGGAGCGACCGTTTCTTCTTGATAATCGTCGTAGAAAAGGCAGAAAGGTTAGAAAGAGGGATCGTTTGACAAAGGGCGGACGCTAAGAGCACCTCTGTAACGTGATTTTCCGACAAGCCGAGATCAGAAGTGTACGGTGATGACCAGATATGATCTGTAAAATAAAAGTACATACTCTAATCAATTAACTGTACAGTTCAGAGAAGTCTTCTTGTACTATAATCGACTTCGAACGATAAGTCGACCCTCCAACTTTGCACAGTTGTACAGAATTCTGAATAATTATAAATGCAATTATAAAAGCAATTATAAATTCAATTATAAAAGTAATTATGATTGCAATAAAAAAGAAGCGATTGCAAAATCCTTAATAGAACATCCCTAAAATTATTATTTTTTGTCATATGTCTTCATACATGTCTTCTTTACTCATTCGCAATCTTGATGAATGGACTTTTAAAAATGTTTGAAAAGATTGTTCAGTAAACTATTAAAATTTTCACGCGTTTCGTTGAGATCTACGGAACAGCCAACGTATCTAGGAAAAGTATGTTAAAAACGAAAATGGACAAATAAAATTAGAAGTGGTCCCAAACATACTTCACTATATTTTTGTGATAAAGGTTCGTCGTTCGACTGTTGAATCATCAATTTTAGATCACAGTCCGCTGCAACGAACGACAAACACTTAGAAGATTGTCGAAACATCACTCGGTATATTTGCAACAATGAACGACAAACAAACGTTTCCATAATATTTACAAACCTCGCTCAATAAATTCACACAAACGAGAACCTGTTGCGGTTTTCATGGTTTAAAATGTCCAAAACGTGCCGCTGCAATTTCTATTGCACGTTGCACGCGGCGCATTCGAGAGCAAGATGCGCGTCCGCGAGTTTCGATCGATCGGCATGCACCATAACATAACAATCGAATCGAAAAGTTTACGGGGCAGAGGATCACGGTACATCGTCGAATTTTATGAAACACCAATCTTTCGTGAAACTCCGCCGATCGAATCTCGTCGCCGCGTTCGAATTGTTTCTAGCATGGTTGAATGAAAGAGGATGTCGCTCGACAACGCAGCTGGAAAAACGGGCTCAAGGTTAAAGCCGTACACACAGAACATTACGAGGCAGCCTTAAGTATCGACCGTGGCCGATCGACATGCGATAACGAAGCATAATCGAACGCAGGTCCTGTTCAGGCGAGAGTAACCTCGACCTTGACAGAGATCGACAGAATTAAAAAAAAAAGAAAAGAAAACGAATTTTTTGTGACACATCCTTCGATGTGTCTAATTGACGCCATTCCGTAATTTACAGTTCATAGTACGGTTCTGTACCATTGGATGCACGATGTTCCACCACGCTTCAACCCTTAAACGAAGAAGCCGGTGTAGTTTCGCGTTGCTCGCACCGACTCGTGTTACACGCTGGAGTTAATGTGATTTTTAAGGATGCTTTTTATGAAAATCCTGCGTGGTTTTTAAAAAATTCTCAAGGTATTTTGTTCGTACTAAACGAATAATACAGTTGATATAATTAAATTTAATTAAAATTAGCATTACAAAGAATTCAGCGTTACGAAGAGATAAAACAAGCAGAAAGTGAGTCAATTTTAAAGAATTCTTTTTATGCCAATTTTATGAAGGTTCTAAAAACAAAATTATTGCAGATGTATCGTTGAAATAACAACGCATTACAAAGCGCAAAAAGACTCCCGTATTTCTGCGTAATTGCACAGCCCAGGCTATTTGCACTCTTGCTGCCGCGTTTTTCGAGCCGGCCGACCACACACACATATTCTTACGCTTCGAACATCATTAGTACACCGAGAGGAATCGGATGGCAGGGAATCAATTATCAAGCCCCTGCGTCGCCGGAGGCGTTCCAATATCCTATCGTCTAGCGTAAAATGTGCGCCAAGTTTCGATTGTGTAATAACCAGCGGAATTTCCTTCGGGGCACTGTCTGCGCTCCGATATCGCGAAGATATTCTGCGATTACGATTATTCTTCCCGGCTACTCGAACTTTCCAAATATTATCGATACCGTCCGATAATTAAATTACAGTTACTTCGACGTCTCTTTAACAGTTGCATTGAGATTTATTTTCATAGAAACTTGCGTGTTTAATACTAATTAATCGGAACTCTGTGCGAGAAGTTATCGCGAAATAAAATTAAAATATTTCTGTTTTCACACACTTAATATATTTATATAAATGTGGACATCACTTAATTTGTAATAGAACCGAGTAATAAAGCTATGCTAGTATTGAATACAAATTGGAAAATATCCCTTTTAAGATACAATGAAGTATGCAAACTATTTAAATTTACTTTTTAATACTGTTTATTTTCTAACAATCCGTTAAAACTATAATGACACAATTTTAGATAGAAATAATAAGATTTATTTTTGACTTTCGGTATTGAACGTTTATAGATGCTCACTGATAATTTTGCGCTGAAGCCACTATCGTATCAGTCGGTGTCTGTTTTGCGTGGTCGCGATAACTCACGTAATATCAATAAATTATTTACTTAACGGTGCACGGTGATACAACATTGTTTGCGAATGATACTGTACTGATGTTATTCGAGTGTGTCGCGGTGCAGCAACGCTGAAATAAAATTAGCTGTCCGACACACTGTTCAGTCGAGTATCGTTGGAATATTTATTTTTCAATCTTGTTCAACAATATTTCAAATAAACATAACTTATCTTGGAATAATGTTCAATTACTGAGAACCAGGCTGTCGATTTATATGCATTCTTTATTCGATAAGTTGGACTCAGGAGATCGATAAGACAGCTTAAAATTCACTGCATACTCAGAAGATCGATAAGACAGATTAAAATTCATTGCATTAGCTAGCCGTGCAAAATAAATTCGCGTTCTTCGGTTATAGCGTTCTCTCTCATGGACATTTCATACTAAAATTACCTAGCACTCGACTTATAAGAATTGCAGAAGTGCGCTGACCACTAAATGGACCAATTCAATTAATAATTCCTCGCGAAAGCAGCGGCGTGCTTTTCTCCGTCAGCTTTAGTGTAAAGTCGATCAGAAGCTATGCATCCAGGTGCACTAGTATTTAAAGTTCACAATGAAAACATCGGAGATATCGAAAGAGAATTTGCTACGATTCGAACGCCGTCGAGGACAGTTAACTACGGAATTAAAAATTAGACAATTTATCTCTTATTGTTATCCATTACATCCTGCACGATGCGTAATATTTTGTAGTCTTATTACATTTCTTTTCCTTTCGTGTAAACTTGTTGTTAGTTTTTTATCGCAACCGAATGGGTGTCTTTCTACATTGTGTACTAATGGATCCTTTGTCCTTATAATGAATAAATACAATAGAAACGAAAAATAAACAAGTTTTAAGTGATTATTAGACTGCAAATCGTTGTGTAACTTCCCATTTTCAGTGCTCAGTTTTCTGAAATTCAATTGGGGAACTATATACAGTAATTTCTCCCGGAAATGCCAAATTTCGGATTGCTGGGAATTTCTCTGTGATAGTCCTACGTGGTAATTGCCACGTGGATGCTAAGTGTCGGCGGGGTTTGGACGTACCCAAAAGTGTGAGTCAGGTAAGAAAAACCGCGGTGCTACAGGATACGTAGTAAGGTTATGTCGAATCGTGGCATGTGGTCTCCGAATTGCCTTCGATTTTCCTACTCAGAGAAGTAAAACGTTCTTCCAATTGAATTAATTAAAGTTTTATCAATAACAATAACAACAACAATAATAATACTAGATAAATTAATATTAATAAAACTATTATTCATAATAATAATATCATCATTTATTGTATGCAGGTCCTAACGAAGATATAAATGAAATAGTATAACGTAAAAGGGAAAAGGAAAGAAAAATACTTAAACAGAGATGGAAAGGTGAAAAATACATAAAAAGAGCGAGAAAGGAAGAAAATACATTGAAATAGAGACCAAAAGAGAAAATAAATAAATTGGGAAATAAAAAGAAAATGTAAATAATATTAAATGTTTTCTTACATTTCCGAAATTTTCACATGCTATGAATGCATAAAAAGTCCGCAGTCTAGTCATTGCAGTCGAAGTATTGAATTTTACATAAAATGTGTTATAGCGGTACACCTTGCCGCGTTTAGACCACGTTTAGGCTACGTTTAGGCCACGTTAGGCCACGATGGGCCACGTTTAGGCAACGGTAGGTCACGCTGGGACCAAGCAAGGCCACGAGGGACCAACGAAGTGATCGATAAAGGATCTTAACAACCGTAAAACAGTTATCCTTGCCGCAGTTCGGTAACGGCGGTCTGTCAGCCATATTTTCGCTTATAATGGGGGCGAGAACCGTTCCGGTTGGCTCACATACGCGATCGCCGGCAGTTCTACCGCTTCCCGGGAGGTTTCGCGATGCCCTCGAGGATTCGAGTCGACAGCCTGTAACGAGGTATCATAAACGTTCCGAATTCTTTCTTCGAAGACAGAAATCGGGGTTCCAGCGAGACCGCGATGATGCACGCCGTGTCTCCTCCTGTTCGCCACGACGGGAATTCGCGACTCCACGTTGTAAACCCGAGACAGATATGTTTCTCCAACTATCCGAATGCATCCTTGCCGATTATTGCCGGTTGCTTTAACTTCCTTGACATGTTGTCGACGTACGTAATCGCGGCATAAAAGAAAATAGCGAAACCGTTGACCTTTTGCTTTGTAACAACGCGACGAACTCGTCACGATTGCGAGCATAATTTATTAAATGGACAAACGCTAATTGCCGAATATCAACTCCAAAAATTCCCACCATATAAATTTAAAAAAAATTTTAACACAATCATAGAATCTCAATGACACCGAAACTAGGAAGATAAAATTTCCTATAGGAAATATTTGTGAACCCTTTTGTACTCGAAAGATCTTCGTATAACATCTAGTTCGTTCAATATATTCTAATAAAAAAGGAATTTGAACATTTAATAATATTTTTCGATTTATTTTATTTATTTATTTCTAAGTTCACGCATTTATGGCGTACGTAAGTTTATGAAATGCAAAACCTGCGTACCAACAAAGATAAATTGTAGTCGATGTAAAAATGTTTCCCTTCTTTAGATATTTACAAAATAAATTTGTATACAGATCAGC